TTGTAAAAGAGGGCAGTTGAATACTACATTTTTTAAAAAGGTTAAAGACTCATGAATTTTACAAGTTTAGTATGAATTTTTGAGTCAGAAAAATTAAAGTTGATACAAAGATAGCATTACATATACCTAATGTTGGCAAACATATATAATTTGGACTATACTATAGGTTGGTGGGAAAATGGAGCAACAGGAACTCTCATATATTGTGAAATGGGTAAAACATCGTTAGAAAAGTGTTTGGTATTGCCTTGTAAATCTATGTCCCTAGGTAAGTGCTCTAGAAAACCTCTTGATATTATTTCAAATATACACCAACAAGTACAATAGATAAATAAATTGAGGTCCAGTCTTTTAATGGAATATTATACAACAATGAAAATGAACTAATAACAACCATATGGAACAAGGTGAATAAATCTCACAAATAATACTGAGTGAAAGATACAGGGCTCAAAAAGTGCATATAGTTTGATTCCATTCATGGAGACCTCAGAAAGAAAATCAACGTCTTACCTTGCTAGTAGATATAAACTTTGGTGATGAAATGATAAAGAAAACCTACAAAATACTTTTCATCAAATAGGACCTTTTACATAGAGGAGAGGAGACATGAAGTGGCAAACAGGTGTATGATATAAAAAATATTTTGTTCCTTAACTTATTGTTTAATAAGAGTGCTTTTCTATTATTATTCTTTACTTGTGTGTTCTTCATGTATTATATAATTTACCACATAAATCACCAGTAGAATGTCAGATCATGTTATTCCTTCGCACAAAACACTCTAGTGTTCTCCATCTCACTAGCAACCCAAATTATGTTGGCTAGTGATTATCTTCTACTTTGAGAATCTACTTTTAATTTTTTTATACTTCTTGAAATCTGAGAGTGTTCTATACATGATAGCTTTGACTTTTAGTAGTTTCAATTTGTGCTTTATTTCTGCTAAGGTCAGTTACAATTCTGCAATAGTGCTTCATTTTCTTGTGCTCTGATTTTATTGCCTTTATTTCCTTGACTTCTTTTGCAACCTTGCAACTGCTCCTTGTTACCTCTTAATTTTGTCTGATTTTATTACACTTTTTTGCTCATTTCTCACCTTTTCTTATGTTCTATTCTGAATGCAAATCAACTTTGTGAAAATTTTCTTCTGGATCCCATACAATCCTCTACTTGAGTGATAGTGATAGAAACGGTAGCAATAATAACAACAAAGAAACACGGGTACTTATCTTTTCTTAAAAACATTTTATCTTCCATCACTATATTATACTAAGAACATTATATCCATTGTTTCATTAATTATTTAAAACATCACTATATTATATTTATTATCCTCACTCTAGCAATGAATCATATAAATCTGAGGAAGATTGAATACAAAACTTCCGTAGTGGTGGAGGGTTGACTTACACATTTATCTGACTTTGGAATCTCTGCTCCTAAATTTTGTCTTAGACTACCATTAGGCTTAAATTATGCTTGAAATTGGAACTTCTGAAAATCTAACAATAGATTTGCTTGTAACCAAGAGAGTTTCAGTTTAAAACAAGCTAAATATAAAATCCCTATGTGTCCTCTTTCTTTCTACTCATATATGGAATTTTCTTTTTCTCTCTAGATGAATACAGTTAGATTTTCGTCTTGAGCAAGTATGAAATAAGTATTATTTTGCCCTCCTCACTGAGTTACTTAAACCTGAACACTAGAGATGTCATATTCTTCTGGTTGTCTATTTGGTATAGCCTCTGAGTCATGGGCTAGATGGAGAAGGACTTAGGGGTTCTCAGTTATTTTCTGACTAGATAGATGTTTCATGAAGCTAAACCAAGTTTTGAAGCATCAATTGATTTTCTTCAACCCTGGTCCATATAATTTACAATAAATTCAACAATTACTAGATTGTAGTGTAAATTCGTCATTCATGGTAGGGATTTCCTACCATGATCCTGACTGGCATTTTAATAAACAATTTTGGAGACAACATATTAGAGACTACTAGGAAGAAGTGATTTTAAATCAGAAGCTGATTCTTTCTCCAAGGCTACAATTTGGTTTTATATTGCTTTGCTCTGTGTAGACACCATTGTGTATATTATTTATGTGGACAGGCTGTCTCTCCAACTAGATCATCGGCAACTTCAGAGTATAGTTTGAACTCCCATTTCTCTTGGTTTCCGTGAGTAAATAGTTTCATAATTCGCATGAAGTAAGCATTCAGTAATACCTTTTGGGCGGGGGGGGGATTCTCTTTTTTCCATTCTTGATTTTTCTGAAATTCTTATTGGATTCATATTATTCAATTTATATGAAATTAAGAATACAGAATGAATTCAAAAATATTCTCTATAGTTCAGGGTTTTAATGGAACAGAAGAGAGGAAAAAATGTCTAGTGAAAAAGCTCTTTGTAAATTACATACAAAACTAGCCATCTGACATAATAACCAGAATGCCTGGCCTAACATGGGTATCATCTAAAATATGTTGAAATAAGAATTGTGAGGAAAGAAAATATTTGGTACTTTATTCATATTATTCAATAATATTGAATATATTCATATTATTCAATAATATTAATATATTCATATTATTCAATAATATTGAATATATTCATATTATTCAATAATATTGAATATATTCATATTATTCAATAATGAATGTCTGACCTATTCAGCTGCATGCTTGTTATTTTTTCAAATCATGTGTAATAATCCAAGTTTGGGAGATATGAAAAAAACATTGTTTTTCCAGTTGACACTGTTTTGGACAGGATGAAATGCTATTTGATGTACTTGTCAAATAAATAGAAAGCACAAAATTGTGAACTGATAATATCATAGTCTGTCCTCATTTCTAAGATATTTACTATTGATGCTTCATAGGCAAAAATCTCATTTAAAGAGCTCATTGTTTTGATTGAGCTCATCTGGAAAATCGCATACACTGTGACCTATTTAGAAAATAATTTAGCTGTGAGTGATGATTGCTATTTGCCAATGATAATGGAAAGACAGTATTTCTCTGGTATTTTGCCAACTTTTAAGTCATATTAGAAAAATTTACAATAGTCGATCATTTCTTTCAAACTAGAAATATAGGAGGCTTCATACGTAAGTAATAAGATCAAGCTTCTGAATTTGGAAATTAAGAACTGTTATAAATTATCGATAATTTGTGTGTGAAAAAAGACGTCTATGATATGTGAGCAGTGCTGAGACATTTAGACAACTAAAATTCATTCATGAGTAGGTTACCATAACCTCAAAAGTATATCTACACATAGTAAAGAGACAAAAATACTCTAGGAATTAAATCTTAATATATCCTGGTAACCTGGTAAGTCTCACATTCTACATGAGAAAGAATGACTCTCACAAGGCTGAATTAGAGGTAGTAACCATAACATTTTATGAGACTTAAAACAAGCTAATTGTGGATTCTTTTCACATTCCACATTTTAAACATACAGACTCAGATCAGGCTGGAGTAGGAAAAATAGAATTAGGGTGAGAGGATTACACTTTATGGAGAAACGTAAGTCTTGTATTTGTAATCTCCATGTCTTTAGATATTTATGTGGAAGTCACATATGATTTCAGTATCTACATCAATAAGTAGAATTTATTATTTTCAGATATATTTAATGTTTATTGACATTACAAATAGTTATTATCTGAGACATGTACCCTTTTATTTATATCAGGAATCAATTATTTAACAGAAAGAAAGAAGTCACTTGTTTAAAAAATGTTCCCTGACTCACAATATTCTGTAATAATATGATGTTTTATCTGTGGAAGGCTAAACCTTCCCTGGAAGAAGAAGCTGTAAGAAATAATCTGTCTAATGGAGATCACAGCTTCAGTGCCCAATAGGTGACCAAATTGCCACAGCCTTGTACTGAGTTCATCACTCCTCTGCCATGCTACCTTCTCTCTTCACTATTAGAGTGAATTGATGTCTCCATTCATCCGGAGTCAGTCAGCAGCCCGGGAATTTTGAGTTATTCTCGGCACATAGAATGTCACCAAATTATATAAATTGTACATTTTCACTTCTTATGAATCTGTCCCCTCATATCATCCCTATAGTAGAGTGTTTGTCCATGCCCTCATCATCTTTTTGTGCTAATGAAATGTCCTTCTAATCATCCATCAGTCATTCTACTGCTCTACCTAATGGCTCCATGTCATAAGTGGACAAAGTAGAAAATCATAAAATTGGCCATAAAAGGTCCATAAGATCCTACGTAATTTGGCCCCTGTCTGCTTCTTTCATCTGATTTTTTTTCCAACCTCTAACATTTGAACAGCCATTTCAAATGTCATAATTTCCTAATCACACTAGGCTGGCTCCTGACTGTTTTCTGTCTCTCTCTCTCTCTCTCTCTTTTTTGAGACTGAGTCTCGCTCTATCATCAGGCTGGAGTGCAGTGGCCCGATCTCGGCTCACTGCAACCTCCACCTCCCGGGTTCAAGCGATTCTCCTGCCTCAGCCTCCCAAGTAACTGGGATTACAGGCACCCACTACCATGCCCAGCTAATTTTTGCATTTTTAGTAGAGACGGGGTTTCACCGTGTTGACCAGGATGGTCTGGTTCTCTTGACCTCGTGATCTGCGTGCCTCTGCCTCCCAAAGTGCCTCTGTTCATGTTGTTCTTTGCTGAAAGTTACCTTTACTCCCCACCTTCCTTCACAATGCCCCTCTCTGGCTGGGAGACACATGCAGTACTCATTTGTCAACATTCGGCTCAAATGGAAAAAACTGACCATTCTTTCTTATGCATCTGTATACATACAGTCTTTCCTCAGCAGCTGTAGCACTTTACTGCATATGCCTTTCTACTCGTCTGTTTTTCCAGGTTGAAATGAAAGCCTTTCAAGTGTAGATCCTCTGTTTTATTCATTTTTGTCATCTTCAAAATTTGCAGTTTTAGAAAAGTAGTACGTGCTTTAAAAATGCTTACTGAATTGATGGTTAAAGTAACAAAAATCAATACCTGGGTTTTCAATAGATATTTCAGGTGGAAGTCATATTTTTTGATGACTGTTAAGAGACATTGTCTGGAAAATAAAAAATAGAAATTTTGTTTAAAATTGGATGGGAAAACTTACATTACCTTTAGCACAAACATTTATCACAAATTCTGTTTTGCCCATGATACTATCGTAGGCATGGTATAAAAAGGATTATTGTTGACATAATTTTAAAAACATCTCAGAAGGGTGCCTTATAAAGTTTGTATAACTTGATAGACTACAAACATATTTGAAAGTCTTAGAACTCCAAAGAATTAATGATAAATTAACCAAACCTCTCAAAGGCTGATCATTATATAAAAGTACTCTTAATTCAAACTGTAAGTTGCAAAGGGATTCATAAGCAGATAATGGCATATATTAACATCAAGAAATATTAAGTATGCAAAATCTTGTAGATAATTGCATTTGGAATTAATGGCTTATATTTATAATATATGGGGTTGTCTCTGACACCAAACCTCTGCATTTTTCTTTCCTAAGCTTCTCTTATTGCTCCAGCTTTATCTATGCTTAGGGAGAAGCCATGCAATTTGAGCAGAAATTCTTCTGAGCTTCGCTGTTCAAAAATTATTTTCCCAAACATTATTGACTTTACCTTCTTATTTGTCTTGAAAATTCCTGACTTAAATTGAATCATAAGTCACACAACTCAAAAATGCAACATGAAAAAATACACCATTATTTTTACAGTAGCTGCATTCTCATTTTTTTTACATTATCACTTTAGTTGAAGTCCCTCTGTCAGTTCAAAGACAAAATGCATAGAATATGTAAAAGACAATGAAAGGGGAGGAAAATAATAACTAAAGATTTGGGCAATGGCAGTGTTTTATATAAAACCTGAAACTACTAGTATCACTAAGAATGCACCCACTTCAGCACTTTGTTTTTGGATATTGTATCTATTTTATAGAAAAAAACTACTAGGAACTAGTGAAGGTGAGTGATTTGCTCAACTTCTAAGAGGAAGTTGAGTCATAAAAGAGAAGAGCTGAAATCAAAGCCCTTGCCATCCAGTGCTTGATTTTTTTGATGACCCAATACGGTGTTCTGAGGAGGGCAGGCAGGGAAGCGTTGTATCCCCAAAAGTAAAGTTCTACAGTGGCCTTTATAAGGCTGAGAATGTCTCTGTGTTAGATACCCTTTGAGAAAGATAAGGGGGGAAGGGTCAGAACATGATGGAAGTGGAATAAGCACTGACTAAGAGTTAGATACTTGGTTTTAGTCATGGCTATGGGATTAAATATTTGTGTGATGGTTGCCAAGTTTTTGAACTTCTGTTTTTAGTTTCCTTACCACAGAAGAAATAGCGCTGGGAGATGGTATCACCCCAGATTGTAATCCACTGCCCTGGGATTGGAGGGAGGGGTGGAGGCGTGAAGTCTGCAACTGGGCTGTCCCAGACATGTTTCCTCTACTCCTTGCTACAGCAGAACTTTGCTTTGCCCTGCATTAACCCTCTGGACCCCTGCAACTGCACACTGGCCATCAAATGTCTGCTAGGGGGCAGGCAATGGCAGGGGTAAGACAAAAACAGAATGAAAGCCTCCTTCTCTCACTATCTTCTCACACAGCCTTGGCTTGCCTCTCTGTCCCCAAGGTAGTAGTGACTTAAAAGGTGCAACAACCCTCCACCAACCCTTTCAAAATAGTCCTTTGTGTCCCAAGGATTTCCTGCTTTTTGAAAAACTTCTCATATTTGAGGTGTATGTCTGTTTCTCTGCCTTTCTCTCTGTTTCCCCCACCCCCGGGTAGATTTATTTTGGAAAAAGGAAACTACAGACCTTGTTTATATGTTATACAACAGAAATCTATGGTGGAATCCTGTAATTATCTATAAAACGAAAATTGGTGTTAGATTATGTCTAAAGTCCTTTCTAGTCCTAGCCATTCTATGATTTTATGGAGTGAAGATGGATATTTTTAGGGAGAAGGGTGGCAGAGAAGGGCACATGGAAAAACACAATAGTTTAATGAAAGAAAATATCCTTTGTAAATTTCAGGCAGACCTGATTGTAGCCCTGCCACTGATGACCAGAATGGCCTTAGGAGAGTTATTTAGCCTCTCAGAACTTCAGTTTCTTTAGTTTTGAAACAGCATAATATGTATTATCACAGAGTTTTAGAAAGAATTAGATGAGATAATATATGTAAATATATAATAATAACTTCACAAAATCATTACCCAACATAGTCACTAAAACCAATTTTAGCTCATATTTTTATTTATGTTTTAAATTTAATTTTTATTATTTTTTAAATTAATTAATCAATTTGTTTTTTGAGATGAGGTCTCACTCTGTTGCCCAAGCTGGAGTACAGTGGTGTGATCTTAGCTCACTGCAACCTCCACCTCCTGGGTTTAAGTGATTCTCCTGCCTCAGCCTCCCGAGTAGCTGAGATTACAGCACATGCCACCATGCCTGGCTGATTTTTGTATTTTTAGTAGAGTTAGGTTTCACTATGTCGGCCAGGCTGGTCTTGAACTCTTGACCTTGTGATCCGCCTACCTAGGCCTCCTAAAGTGCAGGCATGAGCCACTGCGCCTGGCCAATTTTATTTTATTTGAAGTTCCAGGAAATGTGTGCAGGACCTGCAGGTTTGTTACATAGGTAAACATGTGCAATGGTGGTTTGCTGCACCTATCAACCCATCACCTAGGTATTGAGCCCTGCATGCATTAGCTATTTATCTTGATGCTCTCCTTCTCCAACAACTCTCATGGGCCCTGGTGTGTGTTGTTCCCCTCCATGTGTACATGTGTTCTCATTGTTCAGCTCCCACTTATAAGTGAGAATGTGTGGTGTTTTGTTTTCTGTTTCTGTGTTAGTTTGTTGAGGATAATGGCCTCTACCTCCATCTATGTCCTGCAAGAGACATGATCTCATTCCTTTATATGGCTGCATAGTATTCCATGGTGTATATGTGCCATTTCTTTATCCAGTCAATCACTGATGGGCATATGGGTTGATCCCTTGTCTTTGCTATTGTAAATTTAGCTCATATGTTATATCAGGCTTTACTTTAGAGATGTATGACCTGTATCTCCCACACTACATTTTCTCCTGGTTTAACTCACAACAGCCTTAATTGTAGATATACCCAAACTCCCAGTTTAGCTACCTGATAAGTCTGTTCTTCCAAATAATACATGCATACATTTAGATATAAGAATGAAGTAGGATATGTTCACTTGTTTTCACTCGAGTTTTCCAATTTGAATTTACACTCCTCTATTTATGATATACCATTTATTTTCAGGGAGTTTCAGAAACAAATTAAGTAGGAGATGGTTACCTTCGAAGTATTAAAATTGTTTTACAAAGAGTTTAAGTGACATATGCAAACCCAAATTCACAAAATGAATCAGGAAAACAAGTCCTTGAAAATGTAATAACCAGCAGCAGAGATTTTTTTAAATGGATGTTAGAATGTTCTGCAAAGTGTTAGCAGCTCTTCAAATATATCTGAACAACTTTGAAGAATGGATAATTATTAACAGAATGTGCCTATTAAAAGAACATTAGCTTCCTCAGTCCCAGTGAAAGGACAGTTTTTACAATCAACTGAAAAATATTGAGATTTGACATTTGAGAATTCAATCAGAAAGTAATCTTGCAACAAATATAAAATGTCTTACCTGGATACTTTCCAAATATGCATAAATTCTAGAAGTTGGTTCAGATAAAACTGACTGTGGTCCTCTTCATGCTGTAGACAGCAGAATATATTAATATTTATAGAGTGAATAGAAATGAGTACCAGATAAAAATAGGTCCGTAACTTCCTGCTGCCATTTTATTCACCTATTTTGATAACCCTCATTCATCACGTTTATATTTTTTCTTAAAGACCTTACAAGACTCTCCTTTACTATATAAGCCTTTTCAAAAGTAAAGCAGAAAGCTTAGTTTTGTTTGAGAATAAGCCTAAAAAACAGTTGAAAAACATCATGGCATCCACCAAGGTCAAACACTAAATTTTCCTACTAAGTAGGAAGGTAGATTTTTAGGCACCACTTCTCCCACATACATGAACTTTTTTTTTTTTTTTTTCATATTTAGGCCATGCATGCCATGGCAGTGTAAAGCCTGACATTTTGCCAGATGGGCGAGCAGACACATAATCAACTCCTTCATTTTTCAGCTTCACCACATCTTGCTGCCAAAATGTCAGTATAATAAAGCTTTCCGTTTCATGAGCACTAAATTATACTAATTAATGACAATTACTGGTAGGCATAAATTCTAGGAGTTAGTTGGCATTTTGTTTTCATCCTATATAAGCATGAACTACTCATCTTAAAATATCATGCCTATGGCCTGTATGTGTGTGCACACAACACACGCACACACACACATACCTTAACTTCTTGACTAGTTTTCCCGCAACAGGGCATTCATGAAAACCCTTTGCAAGTATGCAGAGAATGCAGTATGTCTTATCATAATTGTACTATTTCGTCACACAGTGGCATTAAGGTTGAGATCTGAGTGAGTCCCTTAATGTCTGGGGTGTATGTAATCTTGTGTGTCAATAAACACAGTCTATTTTTAAAACTGACTATTAGAGATTTGGACAGTAAATATCAGAAGGAAAACCTTTATATGGCCCAATGTCAAAGGTAAATTAATTTTTGTATTGGTTTGTTTTGTGAAGAGGAAGAAGGAAGCTAAGTTAGATGGAAAGAATAAGGTCACTGTTATAAATAATATTTTGACTACATGCTGTGAAAAAGAAACACTATGTAGAATGGCTGAGAAATGAAGATGTGAGTCTAACCTTCTAGAAATTTACAGATAGAGTCACTGGGACAGCTAAAATAAAAAGTGTGATAGTGACAAGACAACTTTTTTCTGCAACAGAGAAAGCTAAACTGTAGTAATGAAAAGCATAGTAAAAGAAGAGGGAAAACAGAAAGCGAAAAACAGAGTAAAAATAAAAAAGTAAGATTTGAACTGTAATATTTGGCACTTGCCTTCTTTCAGAAGTTAAAACCAAAGCAAGAATATAAAGAATATACTTAATTACATATTTCTAGGAAAGCATAATCATATTCATTTAAAAACCAATTTATTTGGTTTCCAGAAATATTTTCGGTATTTGCCTTAGTACCTTTTACTAGAATTTTTTTTTAAAATTTAAATACCTCCATAGGCTGGAGGAAAAATAACTTCATAAGGTACATGTATGGGAAACATTTTTTTGTTAAATTATTAACAGATCTTGAAGAAAAACAAAAGCTGGAGGAAAATTCCTGTAATGGTCCATGAAAGAGAGTGTGAATTTAACTTTTCCCTAAAGCTGAAGCCATACCTTGGCCTTAAGGAAAAAGGAAAAAGTTAAAAATTTTTTTTCTCATACAAAAATCTATTGCTGTAAATGTTCTGTGAATGTTCCCCTGAGCTATAAGAAAATCTTGATTTTATGATTAATATCTACAATGTTGGCAATATTTTTGATCAAATTTGAGATAGATAAAAAAGGAAACAAATTTTAAAATATTAAGTTTTTCATAGCTAATCAAGGTAGCAGATTTAAAATTTTGAAACCTTGGATGATTTCTAAAGATCATCAACCTGCTTTTTATTATTTATTTATTTAATTTTTTTCGAGATGGAGTCTTGCTGTCACTCAGGCCGGAGTGCCAATGTGTGATCTTGGCTCACTGCAACCTCCGCCTACAGAGTTCAAGCAATTCTTGTGCCTCAGAATCCTGAGTAGCCGGGATTATAGATGCGCAACACCAGGTCCAGCTATTTTTTGTAAAGATGGGGTTTCACTATGTTGGCCAGGGTGGTCTCGAACTTCTGATCTCAGGTGATCTGCCTGCCTTGGTCTCCCAAAGTGCTGGGATTAGAGGCCTAAGCCACTGCTCCTGGCCTGGTTTTTTTTTTTTTTTTTTTTTTTTAGAACAACTTTCTTGTTCTCTTGAAATGTGGATTAAATTATTCTATTTCAGTATAATATTATCAAGTTTAAAATAAAAATATTATCTAAGATGAATTGAGCTTTGCACAATTAGAAAGCTCTAAAGTAGCTACTGCAAGGCAATGGTATCAATAAACTTAATATAATGATGATAGTCATACTCCTAGTATTATGTGAAAAAGAATACTATCAAGAAAATTTTACAGTTTTATTAGAAAGATTATAATTGTTCATAAATGTTTTACTTAGAGCTGAAATCCTGAAAATTACAGAGAATTTTGACACCACTATAAAAAATAAAACTGAGAGAACATTTGCTATCTCCTTATGATGTATATGTAAAATTAAAAATACAAATCAAGGGTTACTTATTTTAAATAGGGCAATTCAGAAAATTTTAAATAGGGCAATTCAAATAATGAAGATGAGACACAAGTTGATAAAACTGTTTCAGTTATATTAAGTTAATCAATAAATCATATATGTCTTAGAAAGAAAATTTTATAAAACTTACATCAAAACCAAACCAATTATCAGTTTATTTTTATTTTCTTGTTACATATAGAAATTTCAATTAAGACAAAAATTTATCCTGCTTATGGGTATGAAAGCTTACAAGAAAAACTGTGATTTATTAAAATTGTTGATATATCAACAAAAATCATGATACTGCAGTATATACACTATTTTGACATAACACAAAAATATCCATCTCTCTCAATATTTGCAACATCATAAGTAAATTTCTAAATGTTTTAATGCAAATTAATGTTAATAATGTTTTAGAATTTTTAATTGTAAAGGACCAAAATAGCACACAGTGAAACATCCAATTTTATGACATCAATAGCTAATACTTAGGTAGTCATACTAGGTGCAGGCACTGACTTAAGCTCTTTGTTTATATTTTGTTGTGGGAAGCCAGGGACCGCAAATGGAGGGACCGGCTGAAGCCGCGACAGAAGAACATAAATTGTGAAGATTTCATGGACATTTATTAGGTCCCCAAATTAATACTTTTATAATTTCTTACGCCTGTCTTTACTGCAATCTCTGAACATAAATTGTGAAGATTTCATGGACACTTATCACTTCCCCAATCAACACCCTTGTGATATCCTATGTCTGTCTTTAATCTCTTAATCCCATCATCTTCCTAAGCTGAGGAGGATGTATGTCGCCTCAGGACCCTGTGATGATTGCGTTAACTGCACAAATTGTTTGTAAAGCATGTGTGTTTGAACAACATGAAATCTGGGCACCTTGGAAAAAGAACAGGGTAACAGCAATGTTCAGGGAACAAGGGAGATAACCTTAAACGCTGACTGCCGGTGAGCCGGGTGGAACAGAGCCATATTTCTCTTCTTTCAAAAGTAAATAGGAGAAATATCGCTGAATTCTTTTTCTCAGCAAGGAACATCCCTGAGACAGAGAATGGCCCCTGAGGGTAGGCCTCTGAAATGGCTGCTGTCTTTTATGGTCAAAGATGAAGGGATGAAATAAGCCCTGGTCTCCTATAGTGCTCCCAGGCTTATTAGGATGAGGAAATTCCTGCCTAATAAATTTTGGTCAGACCGGTTGTCTGCTCTCAAACCCTGTCTCCTGATAAGATGTTATCAATGACAATGCGTGCGGAAACTTCATTAGCAATTTTAATTTCGCCCCGTCCTGTAGTCCTGTGATCTCGCCCTGCCTCCATTTGCTTTGTGATATTTCATTACCTTGTGAAGCATGTGACCTCTGTGACCCACACCCTATTCGTACACTGCCTCCCCTTTTGAAAATCGATAATAAAAACTTGCTGGTTTTACGACTCAGGGAGCATCACGGAACCAGCCGACATGTGATGTCTCCCCTGGACACCCAGCTTTAAAATCGCTCTCTTTTGTACTCTTTCCCTTTATTTTCAGAGCAGCCAATACTTAGGGAAATAGAAAAGAACCCATGTTTAATATTGGGGGGTGGGGTTTCCCCCAATATTTTATTTCCCCCGATATTATTTCTCAATTGAGTTCTCATAATAACTACATTAGGTAAGAACTATCATTATTCACATTTTTAGATGAAGAAATTCAGGTATAGAGAATTTAACAATTTGCCTAAAAGTGAACATTTGAAATTGAGCAATATGAAACCAGAATTTTTGCTTTTTTATAGAAGGCTAAATGAGCAAATTTAATATTCCTCATTTCTAAAGATCAGAGCTAGGCTTGTGTGCTCCAGGATTTAGACAGAAAAGCAAGTACCATCACTAGTCCCTCTTATTCATCCGCATTAGGTGCTTCTCTCAACTTTTAGAGCTGGCTATATATTCTTTCAGAGCACATACCTCTACATGACTTCATTGTATACACTTATTTATTGTCTGTCTCTCAACTAGGATGTGAACTCTACATTCTAGAAAAGGCAAGTACTATGAATGGCATGTAACAAGTTTTATTTGTTAAATGAATCAATTGTTATTAGGTTGTATATACTGTATAAAGTACTTATCCCAGTTCCTGGAAGTAAATCCTTAAAGTTTTAATAAAATATAATAATCTTCCCCTTTGAAATGCAATGCAAAAAAAAAAAAAAATCCTGAAAGAATCAAGACTTGGACCAGGTGCGGTGGCTTACGCCTGTAATCCCAGCACTTTGTGGGGCTGAGGCAGGTGGATCACGAGGTCAGGAGTTTGAGACCAGCCTAATCAACATGGTGAAACCCATCTCTACGAAAAATACAAAAATTAGCCAGGCATGGTGTCATGTGCCTGTAATCCCAGCTACTCAGGAGGCTGAGGCAGGAGAATTGCTTGAACCCGAGAGGCAAAGGTTGCAGTGAGCCAACATCATGCCACTGCACTCCAGCCTGGGCAACAGAGCGAGACCTCATCTCAAAAAAAAAAAAAAAAAATCAAGACTTAGAGAGATGGAGATACAGAATGCCTTTTTCATATACTGCATGGAAGTTACCATTGCTTTCTAATTGGAAATCGGTGCCATTTGCATCCCCTGAACCCCTGAGGGCTGAGATCTTATTGATATTGCTCACTACTCTACCTACACATTAGTATAGGGCCTAATAGACAGCAGTTACATAGCAAATACTTATTGCATGAATGGAGGATATACAAATATATAAATATATTTGCCATCAGGTGTATTATCCATTTTATTATTATTATTATTATTATTTTTTTTTTTTTGAGACAGAGTCTAGCTCTGTCACCCAGGCTGGAGTGCAGTGGCGCAATCTCGGCTCACTGCAACCTCCGCCTCCCGGGTTCAAGTATTATCCATTTTAAACAACAGCATCAATATTAGCAAAAGTTGTGGATAAGAAAAGGCATTTATACTTTTTGCCTATGAGTTGTTGAATTATCCAAGAATTGGTGACATTTATTATAGGATGGACAAGTTTGTAAGTTGAATCATGAAGCATCAAAAAGAACCACATAACTTAATTCCCACTGTGATCCAAATGGCATATTGAAAAACAGGCATTTCTGATGAGAACTACACATTATACACCCAGAGATAACAATATGCTTGTCCCTGGACATGGTAACAATGGTGATGACAGAAATATGATTATCTCACTTTTTTTTTTTCTCAACACTGAGGGTAATTTGAAGAATCTTAAGTTTAATATTGACAGAGTCAGTTGCACTATATAACTGCACTGGTCAACATTATCATATAGTGTGATCTGTAGGCAGATTAGTTTTGCTCTGATCTCATCACCCTTATTTACTAGCTGTGAGACTTTGGATGATTTAAATAATCTCTTAACTTTTCAGTTCTTTTATTTTTATAAGATAGAAAAATAGTTGTATTTATTCTTTGCTCTTGGGCTACTATCAATTAATTCATTTAAAGCACTAAGAACATCAATTGGCACCTAATATATACATAATATGGTTAGTTATTATCACCTGTCATGCCCCAGACTTTGAGCTACATGGATATTAGCTGTGGAAAAAAAATTACACACACACACACACACACACACACACACACACACGTGCCTGCATAGAGCTAGAATTTTGACCTGAAACACACATTCAAAACTTTTGAGAATATACTGCAAATTCTGAGCATATTTCCCATATAAGTTGGTAGGAATGCATGGGCTCTGAAGACTCACTGACTGTGCTCAAATCTATCTTCCTCTGCCCATCAGTTTCATGATTTTAATCTTGGGAAAGTCTTGATTCCTCCCTGTGATACAGTTTCCTTATTTTTAATAGTGTTTACCATATAGAATTATTGAAAAGATTAAATGTGATAGAAATGTTAAAGTCTCAGACATTAAATGTATGCCCTATATCAGAATAATAGAGTTACATGAGTTTTTAAACAGACCTTAATTTACATGAGTCTGAAATGTTAGTGATTTGTTAATTACTATCAATAAGTTATCATTTTAGCAGCATCCAAATTAGAATAATATATTTTATCTTCTTCCCCCATGCTCCAATGAAATATGATGATTTCAGCTTTTTTTCTCAACATTGAGGGCAATTTGAAGAATCTTAAGTTTAAAACTGACGGAGTCAGTTGCACTTTATCATGTGTTTTCCTGGAGATTTCAGATGTATAGCGTTGGAGCTGTCAACAGCAGCTAAGTTGAACACAAGATCCAAAAAATATTTCTGAACAACTCTCTTTTGGCCTCATTACGTTATTTTCCATGTAGATATATTACAACCTAATGTACTACCTGAAATTTTCTTATGATGAAACACTTCATACTAGAAAAAAAAGAAATCATCCACTGGAAATCTGTTAACTAATATAAATGACAGGGTGAGAGGATTTTTGCTTAAAGTAAGTAATTTAAGATTCTACACATAAAAACTGCCATAATATCAAAGTTCACTGCATACTGTGCAATTTGAATTGGAAGTAACTCACAACATGACACAGGGAGTAAAATTCACATCTAACAGCATGAAACTGTATCATTAAAGCATAGTCATCCTTTTCTAGGGAACTTTATTATATATATTATGAAAGTTTATCTGTGCTAATTTAAGCTGTGTTGACATAAACAGTCTTCACAGAAAACAAGTTATTTTTCTGCCTTTAGTGATTTAGTGATTCCCCATTACATTTTCTATTTCATTTACTTCTAAGAAGATATGTGAAAAGTATAAATATGATAACCTTAATAAGTGTCTCACAAATGATTTTGGAAAGAAACCAACAGATTTGTTATACTCAGTGTATTTGTCAGACTGGGCTGCTATAACAAAATACCAGAGACCAGGTGACTTAAACAACATGCATTTATTTCTCTTCATTCTATAGGCTTCAAAGTTTATAATCAGGGTCAGGGCCCTTTTCCTGTGTGCAGACAGCTTCCTTCTTGCTGTATCTTAACATAGTGAGAAGAAAGAGAAGGAGAGTGATATAGAGGGAGGAGGAGGGAGAAAGAGAGAGAGCGCTCTAAACTCTTTTTATAAGGGCACTTACCACCTCATCATAAGGACTCTGTTTTTATGACTTCATCTAAAACTAAATACCTCCTAAAGACCCACTTCCTAATACTATCACCTGGGGCCTAAACTTATGAATTTTGGGGGGACACAAACATTCAGTCCATAACACTAAGATTGCAGTAATGCATTCATGTTATTGCATCAGTTCAAATCATTAACAGGTATTTATATTTATATATTTCATTATTTTTCAATGAATATATTTAAATAAACATGTATTAATTAAGCTATATAATTCCAAATTGGCAATAGTTCAAAAATTAGAAATATTGTCCTTAAAACAGTCAGTTTGCTAGTTGAAACCAAAAGTAAGAAAGTCTTACCTTTCGAGATAGCTTTCCTGGAGCTTCCCTACTTTTCTGCAGGTGGAGTTGAATAACAGATTTATCTTTTTGAAACATTTTGTGGCTCCCTAAAGAGTGATCGCTGAAAGAGAAAAAATGAACACAATCATATCCTCCCATAATATCCCCAAATGTGTGTTTTCCTCTCTGACTTCATTTTCTTTTATTTTTGGAACTTGGTTTGGTAAAAGTAAGCTGAGTGTGTGTGTGTGTGTGTGTGTTGTGACTATATATGCATTATATATTTTGTGTATAAATGAATAATATGAGAGAAAATATAAATATATAGATATAGATGAATACTGAAATTATTTTTATGTGCATTAATAAGTTAGAAAATGATTAAATGATTAGACACCTTTAGAATTATCACAATAAGTTTTAAATAATACTTTGCGTATTCTAAGTTAGTTTTACCCAGCCATCTCAGAGTTCAAAGCTGATGACAGCATGCTTCTGGGTGGTCTAACTGATGCCATTATGTCTGTGTGGGGACCTTATTTCACAGCAATGGGATGTGGTGAAAATGTCATGAGCTTTAGAGACAGATTTACGAGCTCGATGACCTTAGGAAGGCCAATTAAACTAAAACTATCTGAAACTCAATATTTTCTCTTGTAGAGTTGGAATAGTAATGTCTACATCAAAGGGTTGACAAGCAGAATAAACAAAAAAATTATACCTATTTCAGAGATTTCTACTGGCATTATTATATTTGTCTCCATTCCTTTCTCTTTCTTTTTTTCCTATAAATATTTACCAAGCACAAATTAACTGAAGAGCACAATGAATTACTATTTTGCAACATATTGCTTATAAACACAATTTGATTATTCTGTGAAATGAAGGGCTTCTACTGTATAAGTCCCTTTACAGCTTTAAATTTTGATATCTCTGGTGACTCTTAGTCATTGAGAAAAGGATGAGTTATGTTAATGCACATTGTTCAAAGGGCCTTAAACATATGAAGGATTTCAGGAGAAAAATAAAGTATATGAGTTACTTGTAGTCCTTAAGATGATAATTTTACTTATATGGAAAATTCAGTAAATATTTGGGATAACTTGTTTCCAACAATGCCAGACAAATAGACCATTAATCTGCAAAATGAATTAACAAAAATATATAGAATTGTGTAGAATAATTATATAGAATTTACTATACTATACAGTAAATTCTTTTTAAATGTTTCTATTTTAACATGTTGTTTTTAATACTTAAAAAAACTTAGTACCTACCTATCTACTAGCCAAAATGGTGAATGTTAGTGTGTTCATGACATATATTCAATGCCTATTCCTATCCCAACTATTAGTCTAACCTAGATCCTTGTCCCTGGGATATCCATAGGGCTCTTACACTGTTCCCTGAGTTGTTTACATGGCCAATCTAGACAAAAGGCATGACCCCTGCTTTTCTTCACTTGTTCTTGGAACTGCCGATTTCTCCTTCCTCCTTCCCAAATGTCTGCTTCGAGGGCCATCCTCACAATCTATCACATGTACGCAAGTTCCTGTCCTTTCATCTCCCTCTACTCAACTCCATGCTAAGAGCTCTGTTTTCCTGTTCCTGCTACGGGAAGTGACTTAAGAATAGTGCTTTCAAAGATTCCTTTTCTCTGTATGTTGAAGTCTTGATTCTGCACTCTGACACCAGTGCAAAGACTTCAGCCTCATGTATGGCTACTGCGTGCTTACTTAAAACTGACTTTCTTTATTTCATCCACCTGCGTGTATACTTTTTCCTAGAATTGCCAGATAATATACTAGACGTCTAGTGTGATGGTTAATATTGAGTGTCAACTTGATTGGATTGAAGGATGTATTGTTCCTGGGTGTGTCTGTGAGGGTGTTGCCACAGGAGATTAACATTTGAGTCTGTAGATTGGTCAAGGCAGACTCATCCTTAATCTGGATGGGCATGATCTAAACAACTGCCAGAATGGCTAGGTTAAAAGCAGGCAGAGAAACGTGGAAGGACTAGACTGGTTAGCCTCGCAGACTACATCTTTCTGCCATGCTGGATGCTTCCTGCTCTCAAACGTCAGATTTCAAGTACTTCAGCTTTGAGACTCTTGGATATTCATCCACAGACTGAAGGCCACATTGTCAGCTTCCCTACTTTTGAGGTTTTTGGGACTCAGACTGGCTTTCTTGCTCTTTAGCTTGCAGATAGCCTATTGTGAGATCTCCCCTTGTGACAGTGTGAGTCAATACACCTTAATAAACTCCTCTTTATATGTACATCTGTCCTATTAGTTTTGTCCCTCTAGAGAACACTGACTAATACATTTAGTATATATAAATTACAGAGAAACAATGAATGAATATTTTTAGTATATATTTCATGTAGTATTTGATACATATTTATACTAAAGGTGTGTGTATATATATATGTACACATATGCTGTAGTATTAAAATTTATTTCCACCTGTTTCTTTGCATATTTTCATACCCATACACACACATACACACACCCCTTTATACCATATAGGTGTATATAGGTGTGTGTCTCTCTATCTATATACATATAGAGATATTTAGATATAGATAGATGTATAGATATAATACCTTAATACCATTTAGATGTGTGTGCATGTGTGTGTGTGTGTAAATGTATATATACACCTTTATATAAGTATATAAATATATGTATATATACACCTTTAATATAACTATGCATAATATATGAAACATATACTAAAAATATCTATGACTTTGAAATACAACTGAATAGCCTGTATTTTTATTTGCTACATCTGCCAATTTTACTGCTTTCAAAAACTAGGTCTTAGTTCTTTCCTTACCTTTGCTTCATTGTGTATGTCCTTGTGTGTGTGTGTGTGCGCGCGCACGCGTGTGTGTGTGTGTCTGTATGTGTGTGTGTATGATGGAGTCTGGCACCATAATTATTAGATTTGGGTTAATAACAGATGTTGAAAAAGTATTTTTTCTCTGTAATTTCTTTTCAAATTATATTATAGGAATATATTCTCATGGGATACATCCAAATTATACTCAACTCTACAAAATAAAAGAGATAAGAAAAAATTTTCCCTTTCCCCTTTTCTGGAAAAATAATTACCAAGAGCTTATTACACTTTCTTTGTAGGCTGAAATAAATAGGCAACACACATATTTCTGTTATAAATGAGAGAATCTTATTTTAGTCATGTCTCTAGTCCATAAATTCCTTTTAATTCATTTTTGGGACTTTGACTTTTAATCAGAAAAGTCTCAACTATCCAAGACATAGTAGTGCCTTCTGCTATATTACTTTAGGTTTATATTAACTATATTTTTTCTTTTAGAATTATTTCCCTTCATGTGTTGGAATTATTTGAGCCATTTTTGAGTCTCTTCTTTCTCTATTTATCTTTAGAGGCTTGAGATTCATAAACATATTTTTACTTTCTGGTGGTTGCCTTTTTTAAAGAAAATGAAACATATCTTAAAGCTTTTCTGTTGTAATTTCAATATAATTACTATGTGACAGATACTCTGAAATAAAATTTAGAGCTTAATATGACTTCAATTCAGTTCTCTCTTAGAACCTTACAACTGCTCAAGTAGAAATCACTTCAAATATTAGTTCCAGATTCTTTTATCACTTACTTGATGAAATATAAAAAGTAGTAGATTCGTTGATCAAAAAAGTTAAAGTTGGGAATTATAAAGAAGACAGATATCTTAAAAATAGCTTATTTTTAAACTAAACATAACTAAATAGCCTCTCACTAGCCAAAGTTCTGATATTAGCAGCAAGTCTTTGCTATTGGATGAAGGGTCAGTTGATAACAATTTTGTGTCATCTTTCTGATATAAAACAAATCTATAAGTAATTATCTTTATTGCCTATTCTACTTTCTTAAATGTGGAGCAATTTCTCAGAGTCAAAGAACAACTTGATGGAAAATCACTTTAGATTTTTATAATTATTTTTCTAGTCTAAGTTGTTTCCTCTACATTGAATTCAACAACAATAGCTTTTAATGGCTCTCCTTTATTAATTATCTTTAAAAATTTTTAACTCAATTTTCATAGAAACACTGACTTTCTTTGTTCACTCATATTTCATCACTCTGTAAATACTTCATTTATTTACCTAAATAAAATAACAATAGAACTGACATAAAAATGTTCAGGAATGAACACAACTGACTCTAGGTACATTTACAACTCAACTTACAAAAGCAAAAGTGCATGGGCATAATATACTTTATAGTAAACTATTATGCTAGAGAAGCAGTTCTCCAAATGTTGTCTACAAAACCCTGGAGCTACAAGAGACACTTCTCGGGTGTACATGCACTTGTAGGAAGTAAAAATCAGTGTCACTTAAAAATATCCTCGATAAATAGGCCGGGCGCGGTGGCTCAAGCCTGTAATCCCAGCACTTTGGGAGGCCGAGACGGGTGGATCACGAGGTCAGGAGATGGAGACCATCCTGGCTAACACGGTGAAACCCCGTCTCTACTAAAAAATACAAAAAACTAGCCGGGCGTGGTGGCGGGTCCCAGCTACTCGGGAGGCTGAGGCAGGAGAATGGCGTGAACCCGGGAGGCGGAGCTTGCAGTGAGCTGAGATCCGGCCATTGCACTCCAGCCTGGGCGGCAGAGCGAGACTCCGTCTCAAAAAAAAAATAAAATAAAATAAAAAAATATCCTCGATAAAATGGTTAAAAATATTAATTTTGTCAAATCTAAATCCTTAAATACATGTGTCTTTAATTTTCTATATGAACATATAGGAAAATCAGTTAAAGCATTTCTGCATACTATAATATAGAAGTTGTCTTCAGGAAAAGCCCTCTTGCAATTGCTTGAGTGGCAAGATAAGTAACTTTTTTCATGCAACAAACAATTTTACTACATGAGAGAATTACAGAGAAACCGTGGTTATTCAGACACGTGTTTGGCAGTCAAAAATGAACAAGCTAAGCTCGTCACTTTAAGGAAAACAACTTCAGAAATAAGAATTTTGTAAAATTTGTATTTTCTACTATGAGCTTGCCGGCTTGGCAATACATAAAGACTTTTCTGGTGAGAAAAATGTTAATATTAAAAAATGTACTTTTTGATA